AGCTGTTGGGGGGGGGGGGGTCAAAAAAATCAAGATGGTGCTTCAGAGCAAAGCTCTGTCCTCTTTAAAATCTGTTGTATGTGCAACTCGTAAAAAAGGGCAGGGCTTCAGTTGTGGGGCTGGGACTTTCTGGCCACCCCAAGGCTGTTTCAGGGAGCCAAGGGCCCAATTCCTCCCCCTAGCTAGGGAAATAGGCTCGAGCAGCACCTCTGGCCGTAGGATCCTGATGACAGTTTGAGGAAAATAGATTGGATGCAGCCACTTGGGCAGGCCTGGTGAGGTGCTTCTGGCCACCGTGAGGGAGGGGGCAAGTGGGGTCACTTGGGGACAATTGTTTTTTTCAACAGGGAGGCAAAACAGGTGCCTTGAGTTTCACAGAGGCTTGATTCCCATTTTGCTCCTCAGAAACCCCACAAAATGGAGAAATTTGGCCAAGTTTTGGCGGGTTTGATTTTAAAAGGGGAATGGATACTCTTTTGCCCCAAGCCTTTGCCCCAACCTGATCTGGAGCTCCAAGCAAGCTTGGGCTGACATTTTTTTTAAAGGAATGACAATTATTCTGAAAGAATTAGGTTGGGGAAGGGGCTTAACGGCCACATACCCAGGATAATCCTGCTGTTTCATCATTACAACAGATTGGCTTCTCCGTTCTGAATACTATTCATCATAGCAAAGCCTCTGCTGCTGATTATGCCAACTTCTGTATAGATGGAAGGAAAGGTGGGGGCATGAGGCCTGCCCAATGCCAAGTGCAGCTCATAGGCTTATTCATGGCAACTATTTTTAAACATTTCCTCTACTCTTACATTAATGTACTTGCCTTAAGTGATTGATGCATTAAGAAATGCAGAATTAGGTCGTTAAAACTGGGAGACGAGTTCTAGTCCCACCGTAGGCAGAAAGCTGGCTGGGTGACGTTGGGCCAGTCCCTCTCTTTCAGGCCTATGAAGGTGGCGGCAATGGCAAACCGCTTCTGAAATTTGGCCAAGAAAACTGCAGGCAGTCCAGGCAGTCGCCAGGAGTCAACGCTGACTTGAAGAAACGAAAACGGGGGCCACAATAAAAACAGAGCCACGTGGTTATGGGCAGTTAGGGAGCATTGCCACTCGAGTCACTTACAGAACAAATATTACAGTTCATCTTAAGATTCCACAAACCCAAGCTTTATGCCCATTCAAAATTACACAAGGTGTAGAGGCTTTTTGGGGCCGAGTTATTCTCCTGCAGGTTGGTAAACAAAGCAAATGGGAAAGAAAAGTGGGTCCGAATGCACCCAAACTTCTCAAGGGCTTCTATAACCAGCAAGGAAGCAAACATGAACTCTCCCAACTTTGAAACTTAAAATCTAAATGTTATCTATTTCCAGCCTTAGCAAGGAAGCGGCATATTTTTCTCAAAACTCGAAACAGAAATTAATGTTATGTACCATTGACTCAAGTCTGACTCCTGGTATCTCTTGGGATAAATGCCCACCTGAATCTGTCCTCAGCACACAGCTCTACAGAGCTCTTTGACACCACCCACCATCTAGCCACCTTAGCCAGCATCTTCACCTTGCGCTTGTCATTTTCCCTCATCCATCACTGCTCACAGCACAGACCTGCAATACGTCAGTTTCTGCTTGCTGTGCATCCCCTCAGCGGAATTGCTCTAGGAGTAACTGCTGCAGGGCATGGTCTAGTGGTGAAGGCACCAGGCTAGAAACCAGGAGACAGGGTGTTTTAGTCCCACCTTAGGCACGAAAGCCAGCTGGGTGACTTTGGGCCAGTCCCGCTCTCTCGGCCCAACCCACCTCACAGGCTGATGGTTGTGGGGAAGAGAGGAGGAGGGAGGAGTATTAGGTATGTTCGCCACCTTGAGTTATTTAGAAAAAGAATAAAGGTGGGATAAAAAAATATAATTGCCAAATCATAATTCAAAGGCTTTGAGCCTCTTTCTCTTGCTCAACAGCCAGTTCCCACAGCTGTACGCTGCTGCTTCCAAGACCACTCCTTCAAGGATTCTGTCCTTATTGGCAAAACGTGGGCAGGAGAATGTTGGTCTGCCACGAAGAGATTTTAGCATGTGGAGGTTAAAACATGTTTCTGACGCAGTGACCAAAAAGTGCCCAAACTGACCTGTGCTGTCAGCAGAGACTGCCACCTATGACATGGGCATGGCTGAACTGCTAACCTGCTCTACAGTCACATCCCCGCTCTAGAGCACTAGAAAGGCCTTAACTGACCAATGCCATGACGGGTGGCAGACTCTAGAAGAATGGTAAGGCTGCAAATGTACATAGTATAACCGGTAAACTAGAGGCGTGCCGTGCCTATGGGGCAGCTCTGCAGCTTGTTGAGCCCATGTATGAAGCCGGCCCCTGCCCTGAAGACCGTTATTGCTCTCCTGATGACGAGTAGGCTGAGGGGGACTAAGACGTTTTTACTCTTCCACAAGTCATTGACAAAGGTATGTATGCGAGACCATGTTTGTGGACATGGAAAGAGTGAGCGATAAAGTGGGTTAAGGAATTAATCAAATTGGTGTATGTAAGTGGTGAAGGCAAGGAGTTTGCCCAGACAGGAAGAACAGCATGATGGATAGTATTGGTGTAAACTACCTTGAACTATATTTCCTTCTCTTATATCTTTAACTTCTCCGTCTTATTCCCTTTCTGAGCTGTGTGTAATACTGCTTTCCACAAAAGGCGAAGCACAGACCAGGCTATTCAAATGCTTTAAATGTCAAATTAATCAAATTGGTGTATGTAAGTGGTGAAGGCAAGGAGTTTGCCCAGACAGGAAGAACAGCATGATGGATAGTATTGGTGTAAACTACCTTGAACTATATTTCCTTCTCTTATATCTTTAACTTCTCCGTCTTATTCCCTTTCTGAGCTGTGTGTAATACTGCTTTCCACAAAAGGCGAAGCACAGACCAGGCTATTCAAATGCTTTAAATGTCACTGCTGCCTGGTAAGGTACCAGGCCCCGAACACTCTCAGAGAACCTCTATGGTCTGCATGCCTACAGCTTATTTCTGGCTAAGACTGTGACCTGGCGTGGCCTAATTTCTTCATATGGTTTGTGCAATCATTCTAGAACAAAACAAAAACCTTATATGTCTTTTGCCCAGAAATTGAATAGTTTTTATATCTGGAACACAACTCACCCCCTCACCCCTGGTTTGCAAACACACCATTTGCACACCAACACATTTAAAGAATGGTGACAATGTACAATCAGTTCGTTTGGAAAGGGAGCATTGTATTTTGAGACAAACATGACAATGTTTCACTCAGTGATTTCCTGATGGGCCGAAGTGATCTGCTAATCTGACAGAGCTCTTCTCCTACCTCAGTGTTTCTCAACCTTGGCAGCTTTCGGAGGTGTGGACTTCAACTCCCAGAATTCCCCAGCCTGGCTC